GCTGCCTCCAGCCCCTTCCTGCAGAAACCTCCTCTCTTCTCTGCTGCGTCCTCTCTCCTCCAGCTCCTCCGCCACCTCCAACACTTACAACAATACCCCCACCCCTCCATCCCCTCTCTTCTCCGGCTACCTTTCGACTCCTCTCTTCTCCTCCAGCTCCTCTGCCTCTCCAACTACCCACATCTCTAGCTACAATAGCGACTCCACCTCTCCAGCTACCTCCAATAGCTACGACCTCTCCTCCTACATATGTCTATTTCATGCTTAAAATCTCTATAAATCATCAAATATGCATTCGTCGAATTTTTAGATTTTTCTTTAATTTTTCTTTTTTGAATATTTGTACGTATTTAAATTGGACTGCTATTTGACTTCACACTTTTTGCCTATATTTTTCCGCGGCGCCTCACTGCTACACAATGCTATCCACTGTCAATAACCTTGCTTTTTTTACATGCATCCCATCTCATTGATTAGATATTGCCTATTCGCATAAAGGATATAGCTGTGTGTACACTATAATAAGCCTCTGATATTATTTTAGTGCAAGAAATTGTTAACACTGACCACTCTAATGGAAGATGAGAAGCAATAACAACCATTGTGCAAATGCAACAGAATAAAGATGTGAAGACAATATTCATCATTGTTTTATGTTTCTCGATTTGATTTTTCTCCGGCCAAGAGAACGGAGGGGATTCATTTTAATCATCTAAACAGAGGGAAAAGTTGAAGAAGATTATGGATTTTTTTTTAGGGCAAAGTACTAATAACAATCAAATCAAATAATAACATAAAGAAGGGGGATAAAACCTAAAGATTTAACTTTGGTACCTATTTGAAGGTAAAGGACACGTTAGAGATGATCACCGGAGACGAGAACACGGCGAGGAGACGCCGATCAAGTGGCGGCGGCTAGGGTTCCGAGGGTTCTCTACTCTGATATCGCGTTGTGTGTGTGTGTGTGTGTGAGAGAGAGAGAGAGAGAGAGAGAGGTAGGTTCTCTTTTTGAGGATTGGGTTTTGGGTTTGAATTTGTTATTTGGGTTTAGGTTTGAGACGAGGAATGGGTCAATAACAATCAGATAATGGGTTTGGATTTTAAAAAAGAACTCCAACCGGCCTTTTAATTTTGTTTTTATAGTTGACCGGCCCGCCGGACTGAAGCAATCTGCGGCCCAGGGCACGCTACAATTAATGGGTCAAACTAATGGTCATATTCACACAAAAAAAATAAAAAGACTGATATTATTGTAGTAACCAAGCAAATAAAAACATACATTCTCCTTGACAAATTACTTCCAATAAGAAGGAAAAATTAACAGATTACATGTGGTAAGAGAGTAAAGTAGGACTAAATTTACAAATGGTAGAAACGTATATACTCTGATAAGCAAGCAGATTTACATGCATCACAATTTTTAAAAGACGGACAGATCAATGTTCACCTTTCTGATAAATAAGAGTATAATAATTTTGGCTGAGATTGCTTCAAAAAAGTTATTTGCAAAGCAGCAGTAAAACTATTTAAAAATATAATTACTTTTGACTTAACACTTGCATGAATCACACATACAATTATCTTTTGAGCGAGTTATGGGTAGAAGGCCAACTTAGACAGGTGTCTTGATGAGTTTATAAGTGAGGCTAATGAGGAGGTTAATCTCTCTAAATATAACAAGGAGGTTAATCTCTCTCATTCAATAAGACAATTATTTTGGTATTTGGCACAATAATTAGCATACCACATTCCTCACTTTGCTTCTCCTGGGGACCAAGCAACCCGGTAGAAATAGTCTACAACTAGTTCGTTGGGTTTCTTTGGACATTCTCCACCAGTAGGATAACACTAGGAATCTTTTTTTTTTCTTTTTTCTTTTTTTGCCCCCTTGAAAAAAGAAAGGATGAGGAGCTCAAACGAACCCCAACCACGCCTACATATGCCCAAAAATGGAGGCGAAGCCAATGGTTATGGTCGGCTAGGAACCTCCTCAAATGGAGTGGATAAAGCTTCACACAGAGGGCAGGCACTATAAAGATCAATTCATCTCGTCGAGCTCGGGCCAGAGTTGGTGATGGATGTAATCCTGAATGCTACAAATGTTAGAAACAGAACGCGATAATGTTCGCAGATAATGTTGCGGCATAAACATATACCCAAAAATTACAAGTGCACAATCAATCAAGTTATAGTATAAAGATATCGATCCCACGAGGAAGGTGATTTTAAGGGATTATTAGAATTGGTTATTATGTTTTGTGTGTGACAAAAATAGGAATAAAGAATAAGTGTGATTATGGAGAGAAATATGATAAGTGATTGTTTTGAATATATGCAAGTGACAATAAATTGAATTTTAGAGGAGAGAAGAAAGAATCAAAGAATAAAATAAAAAGCAAGAAAGAGAAAAATCAAGAAAACAAAAGATGGAGGGTTTAATTAAAGATATGAGAAATCTAGAATTGAATCCACTTTGTCATATTTTAATTTAGATTTATTAAGTATAGACTATCAAACCATTTAAGGAAAGTATAACCAATCAAATTATCATCTAAGTCAAAATAAAAATCATGATAAGAACAACAACAAGATAGTAATCCTAGAATTCATAAGTATAACCAATCAACCCATTTAAGATAAGCATAGATTATCAAATTCTTCTTCTATTAATTAGTTCTCTAGTTGATTATCCTAAACATGATCATTTTAAGTGCAAAAAAATATTTTACATAATATAAAGGAAATTAGACTAGTTTCATATAATTCTAAGATTCCTACAAGAATTAATTTCACATCCTAAGAAATAAAAGCAAGAAATGAATTAAAGAGAATAAGAACTAATTACAAAACAAAAGAAAAGAAAAATAAGAAAAACTATACTATGAACAAGAAATAAATCTAACTACATTGCAAAAGAAATAAATATGCAAGAAAATAAATCTACTCTACAAATTAAAATGTAAAAAGAAATAAAAAGACAAGAAAATAAATCTACTCTACAAGACTTGAATATAAATCTAAACTAATAAGCAATAAGAAATTACTAAAAAGAAATGAGAAATAAAAGAGAAAAATAAAAGAAAATCAAACCTTTAAATCGCTCTTAATCTCCATCTTTATCATCCAACAAAGAGAAGAAAGGAAAATTTTAAAGTGAAGAAAAATTCTTTTATTAATTGTAACAAAAGTTACAAATTTGGAAGGTCTTCTCAATTAAGAGTAACCCTCCTCTCCAAATAGAGTTATAAATTTTTTCATACATTTAACCCCTCACTCTCTATCCCTATTTATAGTAAACAACAATGAATGAGAGCCCTTGGATGAAGACTTAAGCCCTAAGGAATCATTTTTAGCCTTTGAGCTATTGGGCTTGGATTCTTGGGCATTTTGCTTGTTGATTTTCTATTGGACTTCTTGATTTTCCTTTGAGCTTTGTTTCATTTCTTCATGATTCATGCTTCATTGTTTTGGTTTTGGGCTTTTGCTTCATGGGCTTCTGGCTTGATTTTTGGATTGTTCACAATATGTACAAGAGGTAAGGCTTTGCTTCATGGGCTTTGGCGTTTTGAACTTTATTAATTCATAAAATATTTAAAGAGTTTATTTTTCTCTTTGGCTTCATGGGCTTCATAGCTTCATGAGCTTCTCACAATTCTAAAATAAAATAGAGAAGAGAGAATTTGAGGGTTTTTATATTTATTTATATTTTTATTCATTTATGTGCAAACTAAGCTAAAAATAATTATTAGTGGTATATTTATTCATATAAAATAGATAACTAGGGTATAAAATTATGATAAAAAAGTGATTATTAGATAATGACAGAAACAGACCCATAGGAGGTGATGGATGCAATCAGAATGTTATAAATGAGGATCCTCACTCTAGCATCATCACTAGGATAAGAGAGCTTCTGGGAAAGCCATGGCATAATGCCCAAGTGCGATGCGTGCACAGAGAAGCGAATTAAGTGGTAGGACTTTCTCGTAAAGCAGAGATGTGATCGACTGGGATGTCGTTGGTCGAAGAGCTCTCAAAGGAGAGTCGCGTCGAATGTACTTGTTCACTGATCAAGACGGTCGCAAGCAAGAACTAGTCTCGAGTGTTGTTGTCTGATGAAGATTTAGCTATTGTTTAGTTTGCTTTTTTGTTTGTTAAAGTAAGAGAGATTATCTTCATAACCAATGTGGGATTAAACCCACTACTAACACAATATTATCAACAGCTTCCCTCAAACTCAAGTTAGATCAAACAAAGTGAGTTTGCGTACAAGAATCTAGAAATCGATGAACAAGTATGGCCTTTGTGAAGAAATTTGCAAGCTCGTCAGCGGATGAGACATGAGGAAGCAGAATTGTCTCTTCCTTGATAACTTGTTGACGGACAAAATGAGCATTGATCTCAATATGTTTGGTCCTCTCATGAAATACTGGATTATTAACAATCTAGATGACACTCTTATTATCACAATAGAGAGGAGTAGGAATCGTAACAGAAATACTAAAAAACTGAGAAGACGACGAAGATGAATAATCTCTTTAGCTGTTATGGACATTACATGATACTCTATCTCGATGCTGGAAAGAGCAATAATATCTTGTTTCTTACTCCGCTAGGAAATAAGAGAATCACCAAGAAATATACAATAACCTGTGGTAGACTTCCTTATAGTGGGATCACTAGCCCAATCAGCATCAATATATGCACAAAGCTCTAACTTGGATATAGCAGTAAACAGAAGAGAGTGAATGCTAGTACCCCGGAGATACCGAAGAATCCGTAATAAGGCAGCATAGTTTGCAGACGTATGGTACATACAGATTGACTGACAATGCCAACAACTTGAGATATATCTAGTTGAGAGATATACAGATAGATTAACTGGCCAATAAGATGTCGGTATCCGATAGGATCAGATATAAGTTCATAATCAGTAGAGCGAAGTTTGACATTCTGTTGGAATAAAGTATCGACAGTTGCATCGCCAGTTAGCTCAGCGCAATCTAGAATATCTGAGAGATACTTCTGTTGAGATAGTCGTATACCCCGCAAGCCTTGAGAAATTTCTAGACCAAGAAGATAGCAAAGAGATCCAAGATCCTTCATATGGAACTGTTGTTATAATTAAGATTTTGTGAACTGTATATCAGCAGCATCATCACATGTAATGATCATATCATCTACATAAAGGAGTAATAAAACTTTGCAATGTGATGTAGTGCAAACAAATAGAGAAGTATCTTGATGACTCTCCATAAAACTCATCTTGAGCACGACATCGCGAAACACTCAAACCAAGTACGAAGTGCCTGCTTGAGACCATAAACAGCACAAGGAGACATACGTGTCCTAGAGGAATATTGGACCCTGGAGGCGATTGCATATATACTGTCTCAGATAAAGAGCCACGGAGAAAAGCATTTTTAACATCCATCTAGTATAAGGGCTAACGATGAGCAGCAGCAACCTCAAGTAGAGTATGAACAGTGGGCATCTGAGCAACATGCGCAAAGGTCTCCTCATAATCAATACATTGTTACTAAGTAAAACCTCGATCCACTAAACGAGCTTTTCGACATTCAATGGTGCTATCAGGACGATACTTGACATTATAAACTGATTTATTGCTAACAAGAGAGATCCTCGGAAGATAGGGAACAATATCACAGGTATGTGTTTGCTTAAAGGTCTGAAATTTCTCAACCATAGCCTGTCACCACTCTAAAAATTAAACTGCCTCTTAAAAGAACTTTGTGTCAACGGTAGTATGAATAGCAGCAAGAAAGTTATGAAAAATAGGTGAATAGGAAGTAACCGAAGCATACCGGGCAGACATGACATGTGGCATTTGCCTCGACGAAGAGCAAGAGGAACATCAGGGGGGAAGATGTTGGCGCAGATGGGTAGAGATCAATAGTATTTTCTGGAGTGAGTGTCGAGTCCATGGGAGAGGGATTAGAAGGTGTAAGAGAATGCTCGGGTGAGGAAGAGTCAACAGA